AAAAAAAAAAAAAAAAAAAAAAAAAAAAAAAAAAAAAAAAAAAAAAAAAAAAAAAAAAAAAAAAAAAAAAGAATATACGAATAGAGATGAAAGGGGGTCAGCGGACCTTTACGAAGTTGGGAATTACTCCTGGAACTAGACTCCATTCGTCACCGATGAGCAGCAATGAACTTAAGTCGTCGGTTTATTATTAAGTAAACAATTGGAATCAGAATTCAAAACAAATAATAACAAGGGATCAATGGATTTATTATCCAAATTAAACAAAGGAGTCAATTGAGACGAATAATGGAGGAGAAAAAGCAAGAGACACGGAATGAAATGATTAGAATTAGAACTCAAATTTAAACCCAGCTTTCCCAAACAGTTCATGCGCCTCGGTTTTCCAAATTCTCAAAGAACCAAACTCGTCCTTCAGCCCACTCCAACCGATCAAATCCCAAGAAATCCACGATTGCAATCAAGCGTCCGCTCAAGTTTTGCAGAAAGCGATCACGATCCACCTCCGACTGCCAAATAAAACATAAAAATCTCCCCGATCCGTCAATATAAAATCCAGATCGAACAACAAGAATCAAAATCCAACGAAAAATAGAGAGATAAACGATGGCAGTCAAATTCTCGTGAACGCAAAACACTTTCCGCGCAACTGAGAGGATACTTAAAACCAAAATTATAAGCCCTCGTTCTATTTATAGAGAGATTGAGAGAGAGAAAAAAAAAAGTGGTTCTTCTATATGGCAACACATAATCGCGTGCATGAAACGAAGACACGTGTCATGTTATTATTGGTCCAGCAAGGTCGGCGGGAGAGAGTATTATGTACCGCCAAATTTTGGCGCGTGGGCTTGAGAAAATTAGAAAGGCCTTGCCTTGTTTCTCGGAAGGCGAAGCTTTTTTTGGGATAATTATGGAATATTGTCAGAATAATTTTTTTAATTTTTTTCTAATTAATAAATATATGTTTTATTCCCACTTGTTGTGAGATATATATATATATATATTTTTTTTTTCAATTTGATGTATAATAAAATGTTAGTATTCATATATGGGTTAGAATAAAAATAAAAATAAAAATAAAAATAAAAATAAATAAAAATTATATTATTTTATTGTTTAATAAAAATTGTCGGAAATCAAAATTGTAAGCTCGTTATATATTATGATAGAGATTATCGAGAACTAAAATATGAATCTCGATATATTATTATTACTAAAATATGTCTTTAATATTTTAAACTAATTAAAATGAATTATCAAATAATATATCAATTTAAAATGATTTTATTTTATTATAAAATGATTTAATTCTAAAAAATATATGGGAAAAAGAAAATTAATTAAAGTGCATTAACAAATTTAGTATGTGTTGTTATGGCTCTTATAAAAATATGTTTACTTTTTTTCTTTATTAATTTAATTAAAATTAATTTAATTGATTAATCGAGTTTGATTTTTAAAAATAAAAGGTAAAAACCACATTTTTTTTTAATTTTTAAAACCAAAATTTAGTAAAATCTAAGTTAAACAAAATATATTAATAAATAAACATAATATTTACAACTGTATTAATATAAACGATGGCAGTAGAAATTTCGAATTGATTAGATTGGTGACTCGAACAACCTAAATAAAGTTTATAGCTTAACCCGAAAAGGATCGGGTTGGGTTGGATTCAATTGTCGAGTCGTTTTATTTTTTAATCATTTAAAAAATCATACTTATTTATGATAAATGTTATATTAATAATTAAAATTTATAAAAACTCAAATATCAAATAGTCACACGTCATAAAACATCAAGAACACCGGTTACAAACGTAAAATATTAATATTCATAACAATCTTAAGAGTAGAGTTAGATTGTAACCCTATTTTCGGGTTAGTTAGATTGACCCGACAAAACAAAAAGTCAACCCGTGAATCAATATAAATTTATGATTTAAAAAAAATTCATTTCAACCCGACCAAATCTAACCCAATCCAATCTTTTAATTTAGGTTGCAAACCTCGGGTTTGTTGGGTCTTCGGGTTATTTGAACATTCATAACCTAAAGTAATCCAATTTGGTATAGAAAAAAACCATATATTTATAAATTCATGAATGCTATTTTTCTCGTTTGAGTTGGCAATATGTCGTTTAAAATATTATACTCTTAATTTTTTTAATAATACTTCAAATATTCTTTTATTTTTTAATAAAAATAATTATATTTGGTAGAATTTAAATATTTTGTTTTGAAATTTATAACTAGAGTCAACCAGATAAAGAATTGGTTAATTAATAAGATTCGTATAGAATTTCACTTTTTTTAAAATAATAATAATAAAAGACAGGATAATACGAATAACGGCTAAAAGGGAACATTTTCAAATTGAAATTAAATAGTTTTCCCATTATGAATTTCATTATTTTATGATATTTTTTTTAATTTTATTTTTGCAAAAATTATTGTTTCATAATTTATAATTACTTGAAATTTATATATATTTTTATATTATTTGAAAAGTCCGTATGGACTTATAGCGTTATATAAACGTGTTTAATTGTTGAGACTCGTTTTAAATATTAGAGATAAAGTTTTGGGTTGCGTATTAGGGCATTATTATTTATTATTTATTTTATTTATTATTATTATTATTATTTAAATATTTTGTGGAATCAAAATTGGATTTGGTGACCTCACCTCTCTTCTTGGACTTATTTTTTGTTCAAAAAGTGACCAACTTTGAATATGCCAACAAAATTCATACTAATATTAATTATATATTTTTAATAACAAATAATTCAATTTTAAATGAATTTATTTTTGTTCAAAAAGTGACCAACTTTGAATATGCCAACAAAATTCATACTAATATTAATTATATATTTTTAATAACAAGTAATTCAATTTTAAATGAATTTATCTATAAATTTAAATTGGGTTGAAAAAAAATATTATAATGAACTTGTGCTCTTGTTGAGAATTGAACTCAAGACCTCTCGCTTACGAAACAAGTGCTCTAACCAACTGAGCTACAAGAGCCACTTAAAAAAAAGATGTATCGAACGCTGAAATGACAAAAATATAAATAATCGAACCTAATTTAACATTATCACAGTAAATCTTATTTTAGTCACTAAAATATTAAATTTATTTTAGAGTTTTTTGAAACTTTAGAAAACGATCTATCAATTTTTATTTTGGATTAACCAATTATATTCTAAATAGTAAATAGTCCATTTTTTGAATTTACGAAGGAAATAATAATAATAATAATATTTATTTTTTCGTTGAGAATTGAACTCAAAATCTCATTTTTTGCAAATTAATTTTTACCTTTATATAATTTTTAACGGGAGTGGCCAATAGGATGGCTCCACGTGGAATCTCTAGAATGATACTCCAATAATTACATCGGTAACCCACAAATTATTTATTAATTCTAAAATCTACCCCTCTTACATAATTAAACTACTAAAAAACTACATTTTAATTTTATATAATATATCAAAAATATATATATTTTTTTCAATATTTTAATATATGTTTCCAAAATTTAAAGAAAAACAGCTGATCGAATGACTGAGATGTTCGGTTTTTCTAAGACGTAGATTTGAATTTGTCCGATCGATGTAATATAATATTACAAAAATAAATAATTAACGCTTAGTTCATTTTAAGCTTAAATATAAGATTACTGTATAATTATTAAAAAGAATAACAGCGATCTTACTAAGTGGAAAGTGGACTCTACGATTACTCGTAAGCTATTAAAAAAAACTATTTACAAAAAAGTCATTCCAAATAGGCTCGGGATGAAGCTGACTCGAAAGTATTGTGGTGCAAAGGTAAATTATGAAAGAAATAAGGGTCGAAGAGGAAACCATTAAATCTAGTTTGGGCCTTAGGCCCAAGGAGAAATTGTAGCCTGCGGTAGACACCAAAAAAAAAAAAAAAAAAGAAGAAACGAACCAAAAAGTCAACACTTAAGACCTTTAAGAGTAAATATAACCACCTACTCCAAACTAAACCCTCCATGAGTTTTAGAACCTCAAAATTCTTGATTCCGAACCAACACACCAAATGGCTCTCAAGAGTTTAGGTTCATGTAGCTCGGGTTCAAAGTCTTATAATAGTTAGTACGTTGATAATACAAAAGTTTTCGAAGTTCTTTTTTTAAACGAACTTACCCAGCTCAAGTAAATATAACCGACCCTGAACTCCAAACGTAGGTTTCAAAAACCTCCCGAGTTTTCGACTAAAGTCAATCAACTCCATGAGTTTTAGAACCTCACGATTCCTAATTCCGAACCAAAACACCAAATGACTCTCAAGAGCTTACGTTTTGTAACGACTCGGATCCACCATTAGCAGATATTGTCCTCTTAGTGCTTTCCCTTTTGGGCTTCCCCTCAAGGCTTTAAAACGCGTCTGCTAGGGGAAGGTTTCCACACCCTTATAAATGATGGTTTGTTCTCCTCCCCAACCAATGTGGGACATCACACGTTTACGTAGCTCGGGTTCGAAGTCTTATAATAGTTAGTATGTAGCATATAATCGGAGCATTTTTCGATATCAGCAAACAAACTCAAACAACTAATCATAGGCTAAGTCTATGAGTCCTATGAAGTGAAAGAAAGGAATAACATCTGTTTAGCATATTATGAAATCTCAAAAGGGAAGGAATTCAGCCACAGAAATAACAAGGAAAATTTATGAATTAACAGCACATATTCTGTACAGAATGTCAGCAGAAAAACCAGTGGCAATGAGTCATGGTAACTAATGATTGGAAACCTCCCTTTCTGTTCTATTATCAGCCACTGATGTCTATTCTCACCCAACAACACCAACGGTCTCTGTTTATCTTCACTTTTCCCTCTGACAGTTAAAATTGTCTCTCTTTTTTCCTCTCCATCCAAACAGGAAAAACAACAGCAGCAGTAGACTCAATGGACAAAGTGTTTAGATAAGCAAAGAAAGAGATTTGGGTCGAGTTTAGTACGTCAAATCCGAGATTAAGAAGCGAAAGTAAAGGCAATGATTGAGCAAGATAGCTCCAAAGTAATTGAGTTTTACCAAATTGGGATTCTAGCTGGTTGGTTGGTTGGCTGGTCTTTTTCTTCTGTCAAGTGGGGTATGGATGAAAACGACCAGCAGTTTGTGGGCGGTGGTGGGGTGGGGCGGGGCGGGGCGGGACGGGGCGGGGGTCAGACATGTATGGCCATGAAAAAGAAGACATGCCATCATCAAGCAAGTTGGCAACAGATGGGACCAACTTTGTGAATCTCTTTCAGAACTCCCAACACTCAAGAAAAAGATAGGGATAAGATGTTAAAGCTATATACAGAGCTGTCAATATGCTATACCCATTTAATGAATGGCTCTTGTGTGTTTATCTGCATATATGACTAACTCATCTTGTGGGTCCATTTCATCATTTCATCCCCATCCTCTCTCTCTCTCTCTCTATATGAGGTCCCACGTCGGTTGGAAAGAAGAGAGTGAAAACTTTTCTCTAGTAGAGGCGTTTTAAAACTATGAGGCTGACGGTGATACGTAATGAGCCAAAGCGGACAATATGTGCTAGTGGTGGACTTGGGTTGTTACAAATGGTATTAGAGCGAGACACTGGATGGTGTGCTAGCGAGGACATTGGCCCCCAGGGGGGTGGACTATGAGATCCTACATCTATTGGAGAGGGGAATGAATCATTCCTTATAAGGGTGTGGAAACCTCTCCCTAATAGACGCGTTTTAAAGCCGTGAGGCTAACGACGATATGTAATGGGCCACAGCGGACAATATCTGCTCGCGGGCAGCTTGGGTTGTTACAAATGGTATCAAAGCTAGATACTAAGCGGTAAGCCAGTGAGGATGTTGGGCCCCCAAGGGGGGTGGACAGTGAGATCCCACATCGGTTGGAGAGGGAAACAAAGCATTCTTTATAAGGGTGTGGAAACTTCTCCTAACAAATACATTTTAAAATCTTGAGGTTGATGACGATACCTAACGAGCCAAAGCGGACAATATATGCTAACCATGGGCTCACGCTGTTTCTCTCTCTCTCTCTCTAGGCACCCACCCCACATACATACCTACATACATAATCTTCTTTATTCTCTTTTCTTTTCTACCTTATCTTTTCCTAGTTCCTAATGGAAGTAGATCAACAAAAAAGCACAAACCCAAGATCCATGTAAAGAAGCAGACATGTAGCAAAAACAACATGATATCCAAATCAACTTAGATTGAATTCATTGACAATGTAAGGGATATTACAAGAACAAGGAGCTTAAGCAGCTGCTCAACTCATCATTTAGGCAAACACATACTGATTGATCTTATTTCGTAACCGTTTCTCGACAAAAAAATTGTTAAATACCTGGAATTGCAAGATCAAGAATCTCGAGTCTTTGTCTCAATATACAGATCAATGAAAGCATCCATCACTATATGAACAATGATATGTAATATGGTAATGGAGTTGGAAGGCATATAAGTTGTGTACTTGGAGGCAAGGAGGCAAGAATCTGTATCAGATATACACAAAGGACAACAATCATGGTTTCCACCATATCTAGAAATGATGCTCTGAGGGACCATTGCTAACTGATAAACATGCATAATTTCTCTTGTCAACCTGTTAACATCAGCAAACCAAAAAGACTGTCACGGAGAGCTACGTGACCGAGCGACACTTGCGGTATCAGGTTCAAAAAGAGGAAGACTGTTCTAATTCTGTAGGTATATGTACCTATCAATTTGACTACGGTGCATTTAGACTCGAGACTACGATTCGTAAAGAGAGTGCCACTAGGAAGGACGGGACCTATTGGCCGACAACTAGACCGAGATATTTGAAGGGTATGGATTTAGATGATTTGCTACCCTTTATAGACCGAAAAAAGGTTGGTGCCTATTGAGAAGATTGGCATTTTATGAACTCAATTGTTTCTTATAACCACTCATTATGTCCAAGATTGGTATATTCCACAAGGAAAGGTTCACAAACTTTCAACATGATTCATGCACTTCCTCCCTCTCTCTCTCTCTCGTTTTCTTTCCCTCTGCCCCAAACACGAGACAGGACGATAACTGGAATTACTTTATGGCTGACACATATTGTAATGGCTCAAGCCCACCCCTAACAAATAGGGTCCTCTTTGGGCATTCTCTTCAAAGTTTTTAAAACGCGTCTGCTCGGGAAAGGTTTCCACATCCTTATAAAGGGTGTTTCGTTCTCCTCCCCAACCGATGTGGGATCTCACACATATAAGCATCGATTACTGGAAAAGAAGTTGTATACAGGTAATATTAACGCTAAACGCTCGTCAATGATTGGTGAGACTTACCTAAATTTCCGTTTACGGTATCATTAGTTATAGGTCCTCCAGCAGGGCCAGGTGCTGCTACTGTTTGACTCTGTAAAACTGATGGGGGACAAAATCTGAAGACATTTATGGGCTGCAAAACAAAACAAGCTCTGATTAGTCCGAGCCGTTACAGTTTTCAAACAAACCAACAACACAACCCGATCTCGAACCTGTGAGGCCGGTTGCATATGGTGGAAACCCATTAGACGAGCATACTGCTCTTGCAAAGCCGGATTCTGCATCTGATTTTGATAATTCATGGGGTTGAAAATTTGAGGTTGGCATATCATAGGCTGATTCGGCATTGGAGCCACTGAAACCGATTGATCAACAATTGGGACCCGAGGTAATTGCATCGAGTTGTGAATTGAAGGCATTGAAGGTTGAGCCAAACCGATTCCCATAGCCATCCGAGACATGTAATGCTGAACGCTCGGAAACATCATCGGCGCCATCCCACTTCCCATCCACATTACCTATTGAACATTTAGCAATTACAACAAAATTGTGGCTTGTATTGTATGTAGAATTCTTGGTTAAACTCATACCTGTAGTTGTAATTGAAGTGACTTCAAATATTCAATAGCTTCATCGAGCATAGAAGCTTTGTCCGTCTGTCACAGGACTACTTAATACAAGATTCACGGAGACCGAAAATTTTCAAGTCAACCAAAGAAAGGGAACTGATACCTTATTACAGTGAGGTATGAGCTCTTGAAGAGCTTTCATCTTTTCATTAATCCTCTCCCTTCTCCTCTACATTACAAGTGACTTCTAATCATAAGATTCAAAAGAAAAAAAGACTTATAAATGGGGAACTTTTGATATCATACCCTTTCCGAAAGGTTATGAACTTCAGCGACACGAGTTCTACGTGAAGAACCGGATCGAGGAGCTGTCCTGTTTCCCTCGGCAGATTCGAGTTCAGCTGTCTACAAAATGTTTTGTACCCTAATGTTCATATCTAGAAAGCATAATCAATGAGCTTCACGATTGATAAAACGCTTAGTTAGTAGTTATACCTCGCTTTGGCACTCGGATTCTTCTCTATCTCGACCTTTTCGTTTGTTGCTATTACCTCCAGTAGATTGTCCAATTGTCCTATTTCTATCCATACTACTTCCCGAACCGCCTGACGACGAAGTGGTTGTTGGATCCATCGTCTCAGTTTTGTCTCTCTCACTTTGTGGAACCATTTTTCTATTATCTTCCTTGGAGAGACCAGCAGATAAACCAGCATTTCCAAAGCCACTGGTCGAAACTCGGCTCACATCAAGGTCGTTCGGATTCGGAACTTGATTGCTTCCACAATGGCTCGAACCAACAGTCATTGCCGAACAATCTCTACCCTCTACCTGTATCAAGTTTCCACACTCCCTCCCTCCATTTGATGATCCCAAATCACCCTTCAACGGCACACAAACTCGAGAAGAGTTCACCATTTCCCCTAAATCTCCTAAATCCTTGTTCGACCGTGTCGAATCCGGACACTGAAACCTCGGAGGAGGCATCGAATTCGTAAGAAACTCCGCAAGACCTGTCGGATGTTTCGAAGTAGTATCAAAAACACCAAATCTAGGATGTTTTCCATCATGTTTGGTAGGCTGCTCAACAATCTCAATAGGATTAACAAGCGGTAATTCAGAGAAAAAATTAGAACAAAATTCCTTTTCAAAGGAATCATCTACTGGATCTTGTATCCAAGAAACTGTTTCATCTTCTTGAATCAAACTACTCGAATTCCCACAAGAACTCCTGCAAACTGGCTGATTCAGCTTCTGAAACTGCCCAGATTCATTAGATATCAAATTTGATTTTCTACCCTTTTGGCTCTGTAAAACAACTTGCCCATTTCTCCATAAAAGCTCCACAAGTTCTTCATGTTCATGTCTGCAAAATCCCCACCCAAACTTAAACACAAGAACACAAAAAACCCACAAAATTTAGCGCGCGAGCGAGCGAGAGAGAGAGAGAGCCAACCCTATTGATTTCTTATGGATGGTTGGAGGAAGATCGCCCTCAAAATTCCAATCCGGAAAACAAGAATTCATGGCTGTTTCAAAGCGAAAAAACCCACAAAATCTCGAATAAGAACAAATTATTCTACTAAACCCACACGATTTAGTTGATCGATCGACCTAGAAAAGTAATAATTAATAAAGAACTACTCGGATTAAGCAGAAGACAGAGAGGAAAGTCCAAATCAACCAATATTTAATGGCAGTTTAATGAAATAAAGTACTTAATTAACGATCTAAACAAGGAAATCATTAGAAAACGCCATAATCCAACGTTTCAAGAATTGTTTGTCTAAATTTGGAAAACTAAGCCACAAACCAAATCGATTATTTTATATTATCATAAAATGATTAAAGAATATAAAAAAGGTTGAAAAAAACTCGAGGAAATTAAGCGAAAAGAGCTCCCAAAAGGGGAAAAAAGCAAATAAAAATGAAAAAAGAGAAAAAACCTGAAGAAATCCCAAATTTTCGCTGGAAGAAGGCTGGAAGTGGAAGTGGAAATGGAAGTAATGGAGGCAAGTGAGCGATGAACCAAAAAGCATTTAAAACCAGTGGTGAGGGAAAGGGATGTTACACACAGAGGTCAGAGCAAAAGATTCGGTACTATAAGCAATACGAAGGAGCAACAATGGAGGACACGTGGCGAATGAACAATGCGTCTGTGATTTCCTTGTAGGACCAACAGGGGAGCTTCAAGATCAATTTCTACGGAGGAGGCTTAGCTGACTGGGTTTTGGCTTCATATTTATTTATTTAAATTTATATAAATAAATAATTTATTTTATTTTATTTTTCAATGATGAGATGGAGAGAGATGAACAACTCATCTGCTGATTTTTAGCCAATTGGATAATTTTTTTTTACGTCAAAATATCATTTTAAACTTTTTTTGTTGTATTTTTCTTTTTAGAAAGGGAAATATGTGGTTATTATTTTCTATTTTTCGGGTTATTATTATTATTATTATTATTTTGTAAAGATTATAATCATTCTAAAAAGTGGGCCCCACAGCTTGACTTATCGAAATATAATATTAAAAAAATGCCTAAAAATGATAAATTAGAAAGATCGATTAGTCGGACTCATGGAGTTGAAGAATATGCTCCTCCAAATATGTTAAACGAGCGCACACCAAGCAAGCATGATAACTCGTTTTACTTGCTCGACGAACCCATGTGAACTCAAAGCCTTGGGAAGAAAATACGACAAGTAGAGCTTTCTCGATAAAACACATTATTCCAAATTGCGAGACGGAAAGGGTACTCAAAGAACAAATGATTATGACATTTAGATAAGACAAATGAAGTAATCAATCCGTTGAAATAAATGAATTGTAGGGACCAACCTATTGCATGTTGCTACTATGAGATAATGAATACTTTGGACTATTCCCTCCAAACCGTGTCTACTCGAGACACTTCTACCTTGTGAGGTTTAATAATTTCACACTCACGAGCTACAAAAAGTTGACTAGATCGATTTGAACACCAGATTAATAGATCCTCTCGAGATATGCTAGACTGAATATTATGCAATAGACATGGCCAAACCAATACCCTTTAACATTCAAGGATCAAGGGTAAACTTGTAATTTAACCATTAAAAAAATTATAGAAATAAAAAAAGAGAAATTAAGCTCTAATATTTCATATCTATTGATCAATAATTTAGAGCTTTTCAACAGGAAAACCAATAACAGGTTTGATTTCTGAAGCCAAGGAGCGAAGTTCATCATTTTCTTCATTGGAGATTCTCCAACCCAATGCACCTGCAAATTCAATAGCTTGTTCTGCATTTTTGGCTCCCGGGATCGGCACGACGTTTTCTTGTGCTATTAACCAGTTCAACACTACCTGATGAGAAATAACGTTTCCATTTTCACTAAATCTCTTCTATTGTAATATAAAAGACAAGACCGAGATGACAGATAAATGAAGAAAACTACGAGAATGATATCAATATGTACAGTTAGCTATAGACCAACTCGAGAAGAAGAAATCAACTAAAGTGAAGATATGTTCTCACCCCATAACTTTATTTTTCTTACAACTTTCAAGTCGTGTCACGAATGATATCGATACGTAGAATTAGCTATAGACCAACTCGAGAAGAAGAAATCAACTAAAATGAAGATATGTTCCCACCCCATAACTTCATTTCCTCGCTACTTTCAAGTCGTGCCATAAAGAATGCGAGTCACCACAATTTGACACACAAATGAATAATTCTCGAGTCGGTCTATAAGTTTCAAAATGTTACATTTTATTCTTGAGTTTCAAGTTTAATTTTCATTTGTTTTCTAGATTTCAAAAGGTTACATTTTACCCTTCGTATCCCGTTTTCTCTATTAATGTTCACTTTTAGTCTGTAGTGTTAAACTTTACGTTAATTAAATGTATAAATACTTGAAGTATAAGGATTGAAGTATAAGGATCAAATGGAAACTAAGCTCAAAACTCAAGGGTAAAAAGTTAAAATGTTAAAGTCTAGGGACCAAATGAAAATTATACTCAAAACCCAAGGACCAAAAAAGTATTTTTCCCGAGATTGCCTGTTACGAAGCTCAGAACAACGACCTATATGCATAGAGTTATGAGCTTCAACCGAGCAAGTTCGGCATATTTCAACGTCAAATTAAGAGGCATAGACGACAAAGAAGAGATAACAACCATCAATGCCCCGACCTTGACCTAATCTCAAACTAATGTTCAAATGAACTTTTAAAACTTAACTCAGAAAGGAAAGGAAAGGAACTAACCTGTGTGGGAGTTTTGTTGTAGTTCTCTCCTATGGCGCGTATTTGGTTCAATAGGGGTTGGAGCTGCATAATAAACACATGCTTTAGAATAGAGTGACATATTATGTTATGGATTTGTTCAAACTTTTGAGAATCTCGACCTTTGTTAAGAACTCTGGAGTGTAGATTCGACCTCGAGGGCCAATTGGAGGATTTTCGGGACTGTACTTTCCCGTTAGAACGCCTACATAAATTCCCCGTTAAGAGTATCAATCTTAGAGAAGGAAGATGGAATAAACAAACAAAACAGTCATTTAATTCAAATTCACCTAGCAGATATGGTTCTGTTTGGGCTTTCCCTTTTGGGCTTCCCCTCAAGGTTTTTTAAAATGTGTCTGCTAGGGATAGGTTTCCACACCTTTATAAAGAATGCTTCGTTCCCCTTTCCAACCGACATGGGATCTCACAATCCACCCCCCTTTGAGGCTCATCGTCCTCGTTGACATTCGCTACCCTCTCCAATCGATGTGAGATCTCACATCCCAAAACCGAAAATTCATAAAGAAAACTGTGCGCAACATGGAAGATCCTTTCCTATCTGCTCGATGCATTAAAGTCGGCTCAAAGCCAAAATAATACGATATCCGAAACAACCTGGATGGACTTACCTTGAGCAATAGGAGAATAAGCAATTAAGGTGATTCCAAGTTCGTCGCAGGTAGCCTTCACACCGTTCTCTTCTGGTAATCTATATATGAGGCTATAATTCACCTGGTTTGAAGCTAATGGAATACCTCTTTTCTTAAGCTTCTCGTGAGCATCTCGAAGTCGTTTCTCTGAACAGTGAAACCGTACAGAGTGTTCAATTTCAAGCATAAAGAAGAAGAAAAATCACAGAAAGATTTCTACTAACCTAAAGTCGTACCGTATACATAACGTAACCGTTTTATGCGAAAACAATCATCTGAAACATATCCACAAAACATTACCATGGACTATGTTTCAAATGATTATTTCCACATAAAACGGTTACATTATGTATACAATAGCGACTTTAGGTAAGTAAAAATCTAGGGTCGTTACAAAAAGAACCGCTCTCTCTCTGTCTATTTCTCACACACAGACGTGTTTTACCGAAGGGTTGACTGAGCTTCTTATTAGTTATTGAAAAGACAGAGCTAGAAGATACCGCTGTAATTTGAGACGCCAACCGCTTTCACAAGTCCCTGCTCAACAGCATCTCCAAGACCATCAATATACCCTGAAAAAGAAGTTTTAATGAACAGTTTATGAACTGAATAAGTTCATGGAGTCAAATGTTCAGGAACTTCAAGTTTTAGATGTGAAGAACCTTCATTTCCCCATATTCCAGGCCTGCAAACCAAAATCAATGAGTTAGGAACTATCTAGTCAAAGCTACTAGTAACAGAAGGCCATTAGAAGAGTCAACAAGTACAGACCAATGGAGTTGATACAGATCGACTGATTCGAGACCAAGGCGAGAGAGGGAACTTTTAAGGGCGCTTATGACACTTTGACGACCAAACCTCCATGGCAAAGCTGCAAATTTCGTAGCGACTGCAATGTCAACTTCTGGATCCTTCTCCTTCCTTTCTTTAATAAATCTGCAGCAACGTTGGGAAGTGTTAGAAGGACATCGATAAGTGTATTCGTATATGGGGAGGGGTAAAAAGGGGAAATCACAGGGGAGTTGAGAGGAGAGAAAATGTATTTTCATTTCAAGGAAAGTAATAGGTGTAAGGGAGAGGTTTCATGTGAGATCTCAAATGGTCCCGAAGGGAGGTGAATTGTGAGATCCCACATTGGTTGGGGAGGAGAACGAAGCCTTTTTTATAAAGGTGTGAATACCTCTCCCTAGCAGACGTGGGGTGTATCAGAGTCAGACACCAAGCGATGTATCAGCAAGGAGGCTGAGCCCCGAAGGGGGGTAGATACCAAATAGCGTGCCAACAAAGACGTTAGGCCCCGAAGGGAGGTGGATTAGGGGGCCTACATCGATTGGAGAAGGGAACAGTGCCAGCGAGAACGCCGGCCTCGAAAGGGGGTAGATTATGAGATCCCACATCGGTTGGGGAGGAGAACAAAGCATTCTTTATAAAGGTGTGAAAACTTCTCCCTAGCAAACGTGTTTTAAAAACCTCGAGGGGATCTCGAAAGGGAAAGCTCAAAGAGGACAACATCTGCTAGTGGTGGGCTTGGGCAATTACAAATGGTATCAAAGCTAGACATCGGACGATGTGTCAGCAAGGAGGCTGAACCCTGAAGTGGGGTAGACACCAGACGGTGTGCCAGCAAAGACGTTGGGCTCCGAAGGGAGGTGGATTAGGGTGTCCCACATCAATTGGAGAAGGGAATACTGCCAGTGAGAACGCTGGCCCCGAAGGGGGGTGGATTGTGAGATCTCACATCGGTTGGGGAGGAGAACGAAACATTCTTTATAAAGGTGTGGAAACCTCTCCCTAGCAGACAAATTTTAAAAACCTTGAGGGGAAACCCGAAAGGGAAAACCTAGAGAGGACAATATCTGCTAGCATTGGGCTTGGGCTTGGGCTGTTAGATTTCATTTCGAGAAGTCATTGGTGATAAAAGTAAGGTCCCCTTGAAGGCCGAGGCTAGGACATAAACCGGGGTAGCTTCTAATCGGCATTTCCTGCCTTTTTCCGAATACAATTCCATTTGGCTAGAAACTTTTACAGGCACATAGCAAGTGGTTGTTTCAAAGACATTAAATCAGAATCCAAATGTACCTTCCTAGAAGAGTTTCTGAACTTATAGCACCTAACGCGAACTGCCAAAGAATAAGATCATTACACTTCAATTAGCTAAGATCTTTCATGGAACATAAAGACAAGAAGTGAACATAATTCAATCTTATATCCCACCGAGGAGCCATAAACTTCAGCGGTATCGACAAAGGTAATGCCACGGTCAACCCCGGCATCAAACGCAGCCTTAGCAGCCTTCATCATCCTATCTGAATCACCCCAAACAAGAGACATCAAACATGTTCATACTCTACCACTAATGAAACCATTAAGTCAATCAAAACATTAGTTACCAATGTCCAAAATCAAAATCAGGAGGAAATAAACTACTAATGAGCCGTTCCATACTGATCTGAAGACTCTACAGAGACTTCTTGGAATGGCTGTTCAGATCACTAGGAAGAACTTTATCCCCATGAGCTGTTCTATAAGGTTTATCACCATGCAAGAGCTTAAAACCAATTTGCTAGCCGCGGGCTTGAGTTGTAACAAATGGTATCAGAGCCAGATACCGAACAATGTAACAACAAGAAAGTTGACACGAAACGGTGTGCTAGCAAGGACGTTGGCCCGAAAGGAGTGGATTGGGGTGTCCCACATCAATTGGAGAAGGGAACAGTGCCAGCGAGAACGCTGCCCTGAATGAGGGGTGGATTGTGAGATCCAAATCAGTTGGGAAGGAGAACTAAACATTCTTTATAAAGGTGTGGAAACCTCTTCCTAGCAGACACGTGAGCGGAATCTCAAAAGGAAAAACCCAAAGAGGACAATATCTACTGATTATTTCAAACCGAAAGGAAACCTTGAGCTGTTCTATAAGCTTAAAACCAATTTGCTAATTGTTTTTACAAGAAATTTTAACAAATACACCATAGAACAGAGAACTAATCCAACAAATTTTAGGAAACAAGCAGATCATGTGTTCATATAATCATCATTTGAGTATCTAAAAAAACGAACAGAAAACAGAGACCAAATCTAACTCAATTCATCAAACAACTAGCTACCATTATTCAGCCAAGAAATTAACAATCAATCTCAAAAGGATTTCAACATATTCAAATTTTTGGGTATAATTTGAGAGTAGTTTCAGAAACTCACCATCCCATTCAAAGTTATTCCAGTAGCTGTTGTCTCCCCAAGACCAAGCTCCAATTCCCAGCCTAGTAACCTTCAGTTCAGAACCGCCCAACTTCACCTTCTCTTCATGTGATGTCAATGTGCCATAATCCTCAGAAGCCACAGCTCTCGGTCTGTAAATTCTACTGCGATTCATCGGCAAAAATGAAAAACAGGCGTAACTTAACTGCACCGCCATGGCTACGGCAACGCGAAGTTCAAAGAGAGCCTAATCGAAGCTATGGAAGAACCGATTAATGGCGGAAGTAACTCAGAATTCGACGGAAACTCGAATCACAGAAGAAATGTGGGCTTGATTTTTCATTTCCATATAGGGAAATGGTTGGCCCAAAACCATTTGATCTCGTACTAGAACACGAGATTTCTATTAAAAACACGTAATTCGTGGTTGAAATCGGCATTTGAAATCTTGAGACGTGGCCGTGGAATAAAAATTAAAATTAAAAACAAGAAGAACTAATTTTAGATAGGTTCAGGGGAGGTGTTCATTTACGGACCTGCGCTGCCCGTGCCCCGTTCCCTGTTTCGACCCCAATTTTGCTTATATATATATACATAATAAATTAAATTAATAATTTACAAATAAATTTTCTAAACATAATATTTTATTTAAATAAAATTTTAAAAATCATGAATGGAAAATATTAAATTAAAAATAAATATTTCAAAAGTTTATTAGCTACCAAGTCAAAGTAAAAAATTTATTAAATTTTAGCGGTTAAATAGATATAAATTTTAAATTTTATTTATAATTTAATATTTTATTTATTGACATTAAAATTTATTAAATATTTTTAAAATTTTAAGACTAAATAGATATAAATTTATTTTTTGTTGGTAGATATCATGTTCCAAAGCAAGACAAGATTAAGTTTGGTTTTTATATTTAATATTGTTTTTTTAATTTATAAAATATTTTAATATTGTTTTTAATTTTGACATGTATACGTAATCTATACGCATTTTCTTTTCTTATATTAAAAAAAACATGTGACAAAAAATTAGCAATTTAGAGATTTATTAAAAAAAAAATTAAATTAAAAACAAAATATTATATATAAAATTAATGTAGGTTTGAAATTTTAATTATTTTTAATAGTTAAAACAAAATATTATATATAAAATTAGCAATTTAATCACTTATTATAAGAAAAATTAAAATTTTAGAGATTTATTGATTTCTTCGATCCTTAAAAGTTCAAAAGTATCGAACAAATCTTCGAACAATATGCTCGTAATTAGCAACGAGAACGGGTTTCTATCCAAGGCCAGGGACGCACCTATCTAGGGCACAACGTCGGACCACATTGTGGAATATATACCTCGTGTGTTGTTCTCTATCGCCCCTTTTAACATCCATCCTTCCCTCAAACAAAGATATATCTCTCCGAACATAATCTACTCAACTTAATAAGGTTGTTCTTCATCGTTCTATCTAGCTATATTAACCTTATAGAGCTCTAATTCCTTACTATTCAAGTCCTCTTTTAGTTCGACATGAGAATTTGTTCATCGAGGATTTTCAGTTCTCTGCTATACCAACTGAGCTATCCCGACCATTTTCAACACGTTAGACTTATTTTCATACCAGATTTGAACCGGTGACCCGAGAATTTTCAATCCTCTACTCTACCAACTGAGCTATACCGACCATTTCATTTCATTTCCGACACATTATACTTATTTCCATACCAGATTTGAACCGGTGACACGAGAATTTTCAATCCTCTACTCTACCAACTGAGCTATACCGACCATTTCATTTCATTTCCGACACATTAGACTTATTTCCATACCAGATTTGAACCGATGACACGAGAATTTTCAGTCTTCTACTCTACCAACTAAGCTATACCGACCATTTCATTTCATTTTCGACACATTAAACTTATTTTCAATAGCAGATTTGAACCGGTGGTACGTGTGTTTAAATTTAGGGTTTCATCTAAAAAAGACATTCCAATGTTTTTATATATTCATTAATTTTCATATATATTATTTAAGTAATGAATAATTAATTATTAGCTAATCATTGATGATAGATTTGGTGTGCCTTTTTAAGTCAGCAAAATATAAAATTGATTAATTAATATTTCTCCTTAAAGCCATGCATGCAAACCCTATCCTAAGCCCTACATGTTTTATTATTATTATTATTATTATGGTTTTAAAATTTTCTTTTTCAAGAGGAGACTTTTAGTTACTGTTTTTTCTTTTCTTTTTTTACTGTTTAATTTTTTTTTTCTTTTTTTACTGTTTAATTTTTTTACCACTCACTGCTTCTAGCAACAGATAAACACAGTTAATATGGGAAGTTTTTTACTGATTCAAATAAACACAGTTAATATGGGAAGTTTTTTACTGCCCCAAGTAAGAGAAACATAGAGTGAATTATGGTAGTCTTGAAATTACTGCAGGAAAATCACTTGAAGTAAAAGAAAGAACCCTTGAAGTAAAAAAAGAGGCAGTAAAGGAAGTTTTAGATACGGGTTTGTCCGGAAACATACATACCTTTATTTTCCGCTGCATCGTGTAATTTACGTCATTGCTCTTCGTCCTGCTTCAATTTGTCTAGATGTGATTCAAGCTAGCTCAAGTCACTAAATACATTGAAAAAAGACAAAGAAACCTTTATCCTTTAACCAAAATAAGTATAAACGAAGGAATTTTATTATTATTATTTTTTTTTTTGTAATTTCTCGTTTATAACTCTTTTTTCGGATTCCGACCACCCGGCCTCTAAGTTGAGTACTAGAATTTTTTGAAAAATTTAAACTACCTCAAACAAGAGAGATAAAATAATTTTTTTTTTTTTACCACTTCAAGTAAGAGAAATATATAGTGAATTATGGAAGTTTTGAAATTACTGCAAGTAAATGGGAGAAAACCCTTGAAGTAAAGAACAAGCTAGTAAAGGAAGTTTTTCGATCGGGACAAGTTTTACGAGATAAAAACTTCGTAAATCATTAAAATCACTGTAGTATTAGATTTCTTTGTAAAAAAATCTCAAACCCGAGGTCGATAGAGAGGATACTAGAAAGTTGATGGATCGAGTTCTACTTAATGTAATTTTCCTCGTTTTTTCTTCTTGTTATTATATATAGTAAACTACTTCAAAGAAGTATAGTAGATAAACAAAAGGGTAAAAAACCCTTAAAAAAAAAGAAAAAAAAAAAAGACAGAGTTAGACATACACTCAATAGTAGACTTTAAACTCGTATTTTCTTTCCTTCGTAACCCTAAACCCTAATGTATAATCCCCGAACCCACATCTCTGTCCTCTCATAATGCAAGTACGTATAATTACGCGGCGGGCGCAACGTCGACCCTATCATCGTCATCATCGTCATCGCCGCCATTCTCCAGATACACGCAACACCGAGCCACGTCACCGTGGGAGACGAAGCGGGTGGAGAAACGGTCGATTTGCAAGGAAACAACCACCATTTTGGAAGGGAGAAGAGACAAAAGTAGAGACAATTCAAAGAGATGTGTGAGGAAGATGGGAGGAAGGGGAAGAGGTATTTATAGGGTTTTTTGTTGGGAGGGGACAGATCTTTATATATTAGGGCAGATTCTTGAGAGCTTTTGTGAGTGGCGGAAAATAAAATAAAATATTTTATTTATTTATTTTATTTATTTTATTACTTTTTATTTTTATTTTTTATTTTTTATTTGGGAGAGAATTGGATTTGGGTGGCTTCTATTGGTTTTGGGGAATGCATATGGAGGGAGGTTGGATTACACAATTCAACACGTGGAGTAGGTAGTCCATGCACACTCCCAACTCCTACTCTCACGTGTGTCTCATTTTACACGTTGGATTATTATTTTATATATATATATTTTATTTTCATGTAAAGGGAAAATAGATTGACCATGTGTGATGGGTAGTTTTCTTTAACGATTTTTCGATGAGTTTCTAGAACTATAAGGAGCATAACGACCACGTACCTCTACTCGACTTTATCTACGACCCAAACGTCTCAGCATCTAGCCCACCCTAAGATTCGACCTAGTAGTTGGTATTCCAGCCCACAGTCTTCCAAGTTCGAACGACTCTCAACTCGACTTGACTTTGCAACCTTCGTGCGCTCTTGACTTGTAACTAGTCCGCATACTCGACCTAACCTGCTAGTGTGAACCGTGCCCTCCCTTGAATTCGGCTCAATAGCTCCGACAGTTATGACTCGGCTTATTCAGCATATTTAGTTTTCCTTTGACTTATTTGAAGTCTCGTGACTTTTTTCTAACATTTTGGACCGTTCTTGAGATTTTTTTTTTTTTTTTTGACATTTTCCGGACATTTGAGGTAAGTATGACCTCTACTTGATTCATTTAAGTTACTTTTTTTAAATAAAAAAATGATTTAATTGATACTTTAGATGAATTAAGTCGTATATTATGCTTTAATTCTGTGTCATAGGCCCACATAGGTTGAATCAGATGTCGAGGAGTAGATTTGGGCCAGTTCTAGAAATATTTAGTGACTCGACTTAGGTCAACCGTGTAAGTGACCCTACTGATTGATTAGTTAACCTTACGAGTGTCAAATTATTATTGTTATGTTGTGTTATGCTATAGTGTACTATGTTATGTTGTATTATGTTATGTTGTGTTATGTCATGTTTACCAGCTATGTTATAGTGTAACTATGCAATGTTCTAAAATCATGTTATGATATTCATAATCTACGATGCATAAATCTAAATACATTGTGTCATGTTATGCTATGTAATGTAGGAAAGACATGACAGGAATTATGTATGCATGGTTTCATACACTCATTATGTTATAAACGAATGGATATTTGACTTGCATCATAAATTCATGTCATGATTTTAAACTATAGGGATCTCATGCATTTTTTAGTGTCATATGCATCCAGATACTTCCTCGTTATGATTGGTATAGACATGTACCTTACGACATTTATGTCTGCTATGATATTATGCAGACTGTTTGCCTCTATGGTGTCGAATAGCTCGTTACCGAGTGCTAGCCCGAAAAGCGAGACCCAGTTGGTACATGAGCCCGCCTAGTGGATTCATGTGCACGTGTGTGAGCTGTGTGTAAGGAAATACTACACATCCAACTTTACCCGAACTGAAAAACTACCTAAGATCATGTTATTTTTAAGAGATAGGTCTCATCATAAAGTATATTCTTTCCTTTTACGTTGTCACACAAGGAAATATTCCTCTTCCTTTTATTATTATTATTATTATTTTCCTTTTGTGAGAAAGAGAGATATCAAAGATTATTTGGGTGAGAATTATTTAAATAGAAAGATTGTCTTTTTGGCTTTGAATGTATGCCTTTTTCCATATGAGAACAACTTTGATAACAATTTGGGGCTTCAGCATATTATTTATTCAGTATTATTTTTTTTATAAAATCAAGTGTAATATAGGGTAGCATTTTTTCGGAGTCGAGTGTTTAATTTATAATTATAGACTTGAGTAAGATCGTTGCGTTCATTTTTTTTTTATTTTATTAAGTGGGTTTTGAGGTTTTCTTTTTTTTAATTGGATTAAGTGAGATGAATATTTGACATTCAAATATCGTAGATAGGGTTCATTTTTTTTTTATTTTATTAAGTGGGTTTTGAGGTTTTCTTTTTTTTAATTGGATTAAGTGAGATGAATATTTGACATTCAAATATCGTAGATAGGGTTGTACACGGGTTAGGTTGAGTTGGATTGGAACACTGTTTTGGACCAACCTGTTAGTGGCTCCAGCATGTTTGTTAGACATTAAATTAAGAGGTCATGTGTTAAATGCTTATTAGACATTACATTAAAAGAGGTCAATTTTTCAATATAACACCGTAATAAATTAAATAATATTTTAGTCACACTTAAATATATATGTATCACCGTTCAAATCAGTGTGGTGCAGCGGAAGTGTGGTGGGCCCATAATAACCCACAGGTCCCTGGATCGATCGAAACCTGGCTTTGATACCATGAACTATGTTGAATTGAATTATGTTACTCTTGATAGAGGAGAACAACACCACAAAGTCTCTCGAGACTCCCCCATCAATTTCACCCACCGGTCTCAGGATTGAAACCTGATTAATGCAGAGAACAACACCTCACAAGTCTCTCGAGACTGACTCCTCATCATTTCCCCTCTCGAGTCTCTATTCTCATCATTCATCAAAAGTGTAAAGCAAAACCAAACACTGGAACGTACTTACTTTTTTTTCTTTAAAAAAGGGGGATTTTATTAAATAGAGAATGACTTCATGATGCATATTGAAGGACATTGAATGTCAACTTAGAAAGAAACAACGGAAGGGAAGAGTATTTACAGAATAAAAAGGGTTACAAATGGGTGTGAGTGAAGAAAAAAGGAAGCATTTTGTTCTTCAACAAGTTCCTCCATTGCCATTGCTATAATGGAGGATGCCACCATTACTATTGCTGTATTGTTCACTATTATCCTTGCACTTCACCACATCCACCCCTCTTAACCCCCATATTCTAATCGTACGGTCGTCACTCCCCGATGCCAACATGTGTGGATTTGCAGGATTCCAGCTCACACAGTTCACTGACCCTGAGTGCCCTTCCAATGCCTCGATTACCTCCCCCGTCCCTCTATGCCATATATATACCTGCCCACAATATATATCCACAAACACACATAATAAACACCATAAGAACCCGAAAAAGAACGGACTTCAATCCAAACGAATGAACGAACAAACAAACAACTCGGTTCGAAACGTTAGAGAATCTCGTGGAAAGAAGTTCGCTTCGGACTTCAGATCGAGCGAGGAGCAAGAAGAAGAAAACGGTGAAGAGAACTTTCTTTCGACGAGATTCTCATGCGTTTCCAACAAGCCTGGCTCGTGTTTTACCCAACTTGACATCTTGACATGTATGGTCGGGTTGTGTTTTATATATACGAAAAGCTAATGTGACTCGACTATAATCAAGCAACTTGAACGAACGAAAATTCGGAGTATATAGAATGGAAGTTAAAAGGACAGATTAAGAACTGTACCAGTGAGTCCTCGCTACCACTTGCAATAAACGCCTGGTTGAGCCCTCCAAAACAGGACCGAATCACAAATCGGGTGCGCTTGTGACCTGTGTATGTTGTAACTAACTCGGCCTCGCCTTCCAAGCTCCACAGATGGATTTCTTGGTTCATAAGATTTACTAGTAAGAACTTATTATCCCTCGACAATTGAAAAGACGTTATTGTTTGATCCTCTTCTATCAATTTATCGATGAGCAACTCCCTGTCGAGCAGCAATATTGCAGTCTCTCTACAGATACTGATAATCTTCTTCCCATCATTCGTTATTTCCAAGTCGGATATCTTAAGAGTTCTTTGACCCTTCCAACCTTCCAACTCGTTCCCGTCTAATTCCCACATGCAGATACTCTTATCGTTAACGCCTGCGAGTATATGCTTTCCATCGGGAAACCAGCCACAAGAAACCAGTCCAAGACCAGCTTTTTCGTAAACATGGAGGCATTCGCCTGTGGCGACATCCCAACGCCTGACAGCTTCCTCCACCCCACATGTGAGTAGCTGACTATCGTCAGGACTCCACGAGACCATAGAGATCGGTTGCTCGTGACTTAACAGTTTGTGCTTCAAAGAAAGTCTTCCCTTTAAGTCTACCTAGAAACACAAAATTGGCAAAAGAACAGAAGTTAATTTGTGCGACAGAGACTTTAAAATGCATAAAAACTTAATATAAGAACTTTTTCAAGTGATCATTATAATTACCTCCCATATAATCGCTGATCGGTCACTGGAAGATGAAGCTAAGTATTTCCCATTGTGAGAAAATTGTAGAAACCAAACTTCATCGTCGTGATCTTGTAACACCTGCTCGGATCAAGAAAACTAAAAGATTCAGCTAACAGCAGAAAGAAACGACCACAAGCAGTTGCGAAAACAAAACAGTTGCCCCAACCGTAACTGCTAAAGCACACCTCCTATAAGATGCCATACTTGAAAATGCTAAGCTTAGCTTGAAGCAATATGATATCGTGCCAAAATAGTTTTATGAATGAATCAACTGAGGATTATTGTAAACTAGAACTCAAATGTTGGCACGAAAACTCAACCTATATAGTGTTGCACAAAGGAACTTCGCGGTTTTTCAAGTGTTGAAAAGTTTCGGGAAGAAGTTCAGGATTTTACTCCAAGATAAATCGACTATTACACTGATTTCTCCTCTAAGATAAATCGTAACAAGGTAATTAAGGAATGTCGAAAATATATCAACTATATGCAAGAACCTCACTGAAAATGTCTGAAAAACGTTTCTTACCTGTAAAGTTTGAGAAGGAATCTGATTTTTCCCACAATCATGATCTGTATACAACGACATCTCGTTGCTTAAGGAGTTATGGAAAGTGCAAGCATCGCGTTGTAACAAAAGGGCGCGTTCAACTAAATATTCCAACCTTTTTTCCGGTATCATAAGGGATGCAGGAAGAAGTTTCTGCAGTTCCTCCA